TACACCTTGACGGTGAAGCTATTCTTGATGTGCTGGACCGTGAGATCTTGACGGAGCGATTTGAATTGATTGCACATGTAGGTGTATTTCTTCTCGGTCTTCCACTTCTGCCCAAGCATCTCAAGCGTCTTCTCAAGGACGTGTTGTGGACGGACAGTGTCGGGCTTTGGCGGTGCCGTCAGTCGAAAGTAAGGCTTCTCAAGACACATGTTGGTTCCCACGACCGGTCCGGCGGGCATCAAGTCTGACTCAGAGTCGTTGCGGGCGTCGACATTGTTGGACTGAAATCGCTGCTTGCGCTTCTCCAGATCTGCCGCGTTAGACTTACTATTAAGGGCGCTGTTCTTCTGCTTCTTGTCCTGGTGTCCAAACGTCATCCGATCCTTCAGTGATACGTTGTTAGTCTTTCGCCAAGGTGGAAGATTTTCTTCATCAAGCATGGGATTCAGTACTTCGCCGGATTTACGCTTTCTCGTAGGTTGTGGGGACGCAGGGGGGCTGCTGTGGGCAAACGAAAAAGGCGCGGCATGCATATGACTGGCAAAGGACGGAGGAGCAGAGACGTGTGGTGATGGCAGAGCGACGGCGAACTTGCGCTCCTCGGCAATAATCTGCTGCGGGAGCGGGTGCTGGGCCCAATTGAGCTCGGTTAACATCTTGTGTTCTGCAAAATGATTGATGATCTCCTTGAGTTTGACCTGCACGGCCTCTGTAGATATGCCTGGCATCGCATTTCGCGGCTCGAAAGCGCGCCCGACGTATTCGCGGACGGGGGTCGGCCACACCATGGGCTTCTTCTCGGGTGTCTGGTCCTGTGGGGGGATGTCAAACCGCGATATCCGTACGGTGCGACGGCGGCCAGCACGTACAGGCGGTGGAGGAGGAGGAGGCCGAGCCAGGGTGGTACGCGCGGGCACGGCGTTGTAGGCGGGCGACTGCGGCGGTATGGGTTGCCACCCAGGCATGGCGGGCATGGACATGGAGGGATGCTGCCAACGTAGGGCAAGGGAGGTCGTAATGAGTAACGGGTTCCAACGCAGGAAGTGATTTGAGAGATGGGGGATGGGAAAGAGATGAGAGTGTTGTGGTGAGAGAGTCGAGTGAGGAGGTTGGGCGAGGGTGAGCGAGAGCGAGTAGCGCAGGCAGCCGGCTGGTCAGGTGCTGCTGCTACTGTGGGCGCCGCGCCGAGTCCGTCTTGGCGCGTCGCTTACCTCTCTGGGCCTGCTAATGACGGCGGGCGGCTTGGGTGAAGCCTGAGTGAGTGTGTGATATGGAGTCTCAGCGGTGACAACAGTCGACTGTCCGACGACCCGGTGCTCTGAATGTTCCTCCACCAGCTCGACCTCACGACAGCTCTCCGCCCGTCGCTTCTGCCTGAGGAGACGGCCTTGTTCGTGCAAGACGCTGTGGGCTTGTATGAGGGGTAGGAACTCGCGCAGCCCTCGACCGCAACCAGGCTAACGCGAGGAAGCAAGTACAAGATTCCTCAGTATCAGAATGGCCAGGCCTATCTCACTTCGCACCGAGCGTGCTACGTCGATCACAACGAGCCGAGGAAACACTCAGTGGCCATCAACTTAAAGGACGTGGACCGCCCGGACTTTTATGTGGGTTGGGCATGTTAAGAATCGCATATACTCTTCGTAGTCTGACAGGGGCACAGGCCGGCTTTCTAAAGTCTTCCCCAAAGATCACCCTATTCCCCAAGCCCTCCAAAGGTGGTCAAGCCATCCATGCTCCTGCGGCCCAGAGGCCCTCGTCGATATCCCCCGCAACCAACGGAAGCCCATCGCGATCGCTCGAGCCCTCTCCAGCCCCTGCACCGCCTCCACCTTCTAATGCCACGTGGGTGTGCCCAATATGCTCCTTCTCGAATCCAGTCCCTTCGAACTTCGATCCAGCCACAGCAAACGCTAGAACACCTTTGGCACCATGTCTTGCTTGCGGCATCAAGCCACCCCTGTTGCATGTAGTCAAGGCCGCGCTGGCAGCTATCACGAACAGGCAAACTCAACAATCCATTTTGGAGGAGAATAAACTAGGCACGGCAGTGCCGGTGGCCGGAGCTCCAGGATCAGTCGAGCCTGGCACTGTATCCTGTCCGAGGTGCACCTTCTCAAATCATTCGTCTTTGCCCAATTGCGAAGTCTGTGGGGCGTCTTTGACCTCAGCAGTCGACAAGCGGCTGGAGGCAGCCAGGAGCCTTGCAAGAGCCGAGTCACCAGGCCCCTCGACCAACAGCAATCCACTTCAAGAGGAGACTATCGAGTCCATCAAGTTCTCTTTTCGGGGAGGTGGCGAGAAGATATTCTATGAACGCTTGAAAAACGCCCTCGTACAACGAAAGTGGTTGCTTCAGAGCGCCCCGCCTATTCCAAAACCCCGTCCATCATCTGGTGCGTTCGATGACGCATACTCGCCCGGCAACAACCAAGGTTCTAATGACAGCGATCGAACCAAAGTGGTCGGCATAGCTGGGCTCGAACGTCGGGGCTTGGAGCAACGCCTGAACAATCAGGCCGTCATTGCCAATGCATTCGAGGATCTAGATGCCCTTATGACTTCTGCAAAGGAGATATGCGCTCTTGCTGAGCAGTTCGCCTCTCAAGCAAATATAGGCGCCAATGGCAACTCTGAAGCCAGCGCCCTTGCCTCCCAGTCCGCCTCTGCGCTCGGTCTGGTAACCACGAAAGACATGCTGGGTTCCGGCTCAGAGAATCTCTACATTTCTGAGTTGTCTAGAAATCTTGCAGAATGGTTGACAGATGACACCAATGGTATATTGAGAAAAGAGGGCGGGATAGCGACGCTTGTTGATCTTTGGGCCATGTTCAACCGTGCAAGAGGTGGCGTGGAGCTCGTCAGTCCGTCAGAGTTCGAGAAAGCCGCCAGTATGTGGGACAAACTGAAGCTGCCGGTTCGACTGAGGCAGTTCAAGAGCGGCTTGCTCGTTGTGCAGGGCCGCGATCGTACAGACGAGAAGACCATTGCCAGTCTATTGACTTGGCTCAGAGAGTTACATCGTGAGCCTCCAGTGGCTGAGGTGGCTTGGGACTGGCGAGCTTATGGCCGAGGTATCACTGCGCAGGAGACGGCTGAGAAGTTCGGCTGGAGTGTGGGTGTGGCCACTGAAGAGCTGGAGATGGCCGAAGAGAGTGGTGCACTATGCCGCGAACAAGGCTTGGATGGCTTGAGATTCTGGGAGAACTGGCTCATCAAGATGCCGGAAGGCTCCCAGAATCTTCCTATTTGATTAACACCTAGAAGTTGCACAGATGGACGCACTTCTCCAGCAACCTTGGTTTATTATAAAGTTCGCAGGCTTCCTAATATTTGTGGAGCTAACGTTAGGCATAAAATGCTCGGAGACAATTTACTCCAGCAACGACGATAGAGTTTTGCATCACCACGGCTGCACTCCATCCTTGTTCACAACTTGCCCAACATCCCCATCCCTCTCCCCTTCCACGACTTTCTTGATAATATCCCCACCCGCACTCGGATGGCCTGCCCCAAAACTCTTCAACTTCTCCGCGCCCACACCCGCCAAACCCGTCGCCAAAAACCCAGGGCTGATCGCCCACACCTTGACCCCCTGTACTCTCCGTTAGCCTGCACATCCCTCAGTCACTGACGCAAAACACTTACATCTTCCTTCAACACCCGGGCCCAATCCAGCATCATCATATTCAGCGCCGTCTTGCTGCTGCGGTACGCTATTGCGCTCATCTCCGACGGCTTCGGCCATCCCTTTGGCGGGTTCGCGCGCACCGCATTGGATGTCTTGCCCGACGAAGCCGTATTGAGCGACGAGAGACCAGACGTTATGAACAAAAGACGCGGGTCCGAAGATTGGAGTAGAAGAGGCATGAAAACGGATGTCATGACCTGGGTGCTGGTCACGTTGACGCTATACGACAAGTCCCAGGCTGCGCGGATACCTTTGGCGCCGGGAGTTTGGAGCATGAGGCCGTCGTGGGCGGCACCTGGGGAATGGTTAGCGGTGTTTGCATTTGTACGCACTGGACAATAATCCCTCTAATCCACCACTTGTGCCTCTAAATTGCGTTGCTAGGTGCACCTACCGGCGTTATTGATCAGGACGTCGAGTTTTCCATACTTTTGCTCGACCGCTTTGAAGCATTTGTCAATCGAGTCGTCGTCGACGATATCGATCTGGATGGGAGTGACATCGGATCTGGTGTTGGGAACCTCCGAGGACAATTGCTTGATGGCGTTGTCGGCGTTCTCGAGTTTGCGGCTTCCCATGAGAATCGTGTATGGCTTTTCGGATTGCATGAGGGCCTTGACGGTCTCATATCCTATACCAGTGTTTCCACCGGTGATTAGAATGATACCTTTACCAGAAGCCATGTTGATGTGAAAGATTGAGGCTCCCTTCGAATGAACAGTGGTATTTAAGGGAAGATACAAGACAAGACCTTTGCGCAGCTGGAATGTACGCGGTCAACTCAGGTTTATGATATGAGTTGGTTTCGGGCCCGAGGTATCTCATATATCACCAACGAGCGTACTTTATAGCAGTGGAGGACGCGTACAGTCGGCGAAACGTTCCACCAACCCCCGCATCTTGCTGTGCACCCGGAGAGAACGGCCAAACAAATGCTCCGATGTACGGTGACTTTGCGGCGCAGTGTACAATCCATTTGGGAAAATGGCAGCCTTAAAATCTTTCTTGCATGGAATCTATTCCTAGTGTACCAACACCTTCGCCGCATTCATAAGTGTTGTGACTGGTCGACAGCTCGGGGCGCTCCCCGATGCTCATACTAGAGCGAAAACCAAGCAATCTATCAATTTTAATGACTCAAAAAATCAAGAACCGATTCCAATCTGGTTCGGTGTTTAGAATGGAGATTATTCTTCGGAGATATGTATTCTCTGGGCCGGTGGTGGTCCCAACCGCCCCCAAAGTGCCAACACCACCACAGCCACCTCCACACCCAAAAAGTAAGAAGAACAAAAAAAGAATAGACGCATTCCGACACCGGGAATCGAACCCGGGCCTTGCCGGTTTTAATTTCTTGAGTGGAAAACTCTCAATGAGAGCGGCAAATCCTAGCCACTAGACCATATCGGATGTGAATATAATAATTTGTGCAGTCTGAAAAAAGATATAGTGATAACTATAGAGGAGACGGCATATGCTTTAACCCCTCACGGCCTTATCCACCAGTGCAACTCTGTGTGTGGAGGAGTGGGGCAAAAACGGCAGCGCACTGTGCCCCCTGGCCCGCCGCTAAGTGGTAAGCCGAACCGAACGATTCGCCTTTTCAACCAATCAAATGACTCAACATTCTCCGCTTCTCTGCAGATCTTAGGAGCTCTGAATTTACGGGAAGCTTGAAGAAGCCTTCTGAATGCCCAGGGGCATGCAGTTGTTCAAAGCGTCATCCAAGCACTTAGCTAGGAATTTTTAAAATTGCACGTATCATAACACTATAGCAATCTAGCGCTTTCACTAGACGCAGCCCGCACTAAATCAAAACGTATGCATTCGAATTGCACGATCCATTTATATGATCAGTAGTTGCGGGAGTCTTTGTCCTTGAAGAAATATTTGAGTCCCACTTTAGGTTGAGGTAAACTTGTTACTTACCGGTATTTGAAAAGCATATTCGGAGATTCTATCCATGAACTTTTAATCATCTCAGGCTTTCGATGAATTGCCTCCCTGCTCGTACAATCCCATGATATCGCCTACCACACTGCGATATATCCCCTTTGGATCAAAACCCTCCCTCACAGCCTTGAACCGCTCAAGATGTCCTGGATCGATATTCTTCTTTGCTTGTTGAAATACTTCGCGCGTATTCTTGGTCCAGTGCGGCCGACAAGGGAACTCATCGATCAGCGTCGTGGCAAGGTTGTGATCTGCAGCGCCAGAGTTAGAACAGCTTTCCATGTGCAATGGAGGCAAGACTTACAAAATGGCTCATTGAATCTCAGTCCGTCTCCAACGCTCGGCTTGAAGCTCGGGAAATCAAACATCATGGCCCCTTTACTCCAATCTGCCCCATCGCTCGTTCCGTACGTGACTTGTCCCAACAGGTCAAAATAGGCTTTTCCGAACTTGATGTTGATTCCCGATCTATACGTCGACGTCATCACGATTCCCTTTTTCAGTTCGTCGTCGAAAGCTTTCCGGATGCGCTTTAGCACGGCATTCGCCTGTGTGATCGGAAACGCGAGCTCGAGAGTGAGGCCTCGCAGTCCAAAGTCCCATTCAGCGCTGTAGCCTGGGTAGAGACCACCAATCAGGACGTCATAATTCCAGCCGTAGACGGGCCAGGTCAGGATGGCTTTGTCGGTCTTCTTTTCGTGGAAATTGGGGGGTGACCACAGAGAGAAGAAGAGAGTTTCCGCGGCCATGTTGGAGGTTGCGAGGTATTTGCCTGTGCATGGTCAGCCTTACCGAGGGTTGAATATCAGGATATCGTGCAGGAAGGGTGTGTGCTGTGCAATAACTTAAACCGCTCGACACTCTCTCAACTGAATGGTGGAGAAGTGACAATGAAGGCTCACCAGAATTTAGGAGACCCAGAGCAATGTCGGCCTCGGTCTCTGTCACACTGAATGTCGACTGAAAGCCCTCTTGTTCGGAGATGTTCGAGGGAACAGGGTCGTAGTAGCGATGATGAAATTTTCGCAGATATGGCCACCACCAGAAGTTCGCGGTAGCGTATGGAGCGATCAAGCCATATATATCGCCGTCTAGGACCTCTTTTTCTGAGAGAATATCTTGTTTGGCGTAGACTTTGAAGTCGGGGTAGATTTTAAACTTGATGCGAGCAATCACACCAAGCAATCCCAAAGACGTAGAAGCAGCAAGCCACTCATCGCTCTCATCTCTTTTCACGACTCTGATATTGCCGCTCCCGTCAATGATATGGAGTTCGAGAGCACCTGCCGCAACCATGCTTTCTTCCTTTAAGCTCGATCGATGGGCACCCATGGCGATGCTCCCTGCCAGGGTGATGTTCCAGTTTACAAGCGTGTACCCAACACTTGCACCTCTCTCGTGTAGGTAGTCTGCAAGTTGAAGGAAAGTGACGCCTGCCTCGATCATGACTGAGCCTTCTGCGGCGCCATCTGGAAGCGACATCTCCGATATCCCGTTTACTTCTTCGGTCCGAATGATGATAGTATCGGGGTTATCTGTACACATGGTATCATACCTGAAAAGCTAAGAGTCCGTTCATGTGTCATTTGCGCTCTATACTTACCACATATGCCCTGAGTCTGGTCAGTATTCTGGTGGTCGTGCTGATATGACTTGAGGGTACCTTTTCCAGAAGCGCGAACAGGAGTGCCATCCTGCGCTGCTTGCCGAACAATGTTCACCATTTCATCGACAGAGGTCGTATTATACACTTTTGCAACATTTCGACACGCAGGGAAGCCTTCACCGTCGAAGGTATTGTAAGGGATTGCATTTCCGACTTTCAAAGTAACCGCCAAAGCAACGAGGAACAACACGCGAGCCATTTCGTGTGATGATATGATCCAGAGCACTGCGCAAACCCGCACCAGTCTCCTCTGCTTCCCTTTTGAACTCGTTTCCCACCCGTCTCAAGACCATCGGTCGCACCTCGGCGCACGCGTTGTCTACGTCCATGTGAGAGGCTCACACAAGGGCCAAGTTTCCAGTCATGCAAGCGAGGCGGAGGTCACAACCAAGTGGTTTTCTGCTAGTCATGGTTACACAGTAGGAACGAGTGGTCATGAGCGGCGATCGTGATATTAAGTTCCTCGCGCCGACGCTAACGCTCTGGGCAGGTCGGAGAATACATTGTTTTGAGATGTGGTTTGCGGGGTAGACGGAGATGAGGGTGGACTAATATGAACAATAGGTTAGAGGACGAAATAACGATAGCTTGAGACGTGAAATAGGATGCCCTAGACAAGGATGCTGAAGAGAGATGCCACATTTGGTCAGTTTGTTAAAAATTGCCAGGAATTCACCGTGTGCACACCCACCACGCAGTCTCTTTGCGTTGCTCGGTGTCACACGAGCTTTCATTCTGCCTTGAAGCTGGAGTCATGCATGGGGAGTCATGCCTAGTACGCATCGGCCACCAGCTGTGCGGGTGATATATTCGTTCGAGTGTCTGTAATTGAAGACTGTCATTGGTACGAAAGAGTAAAGATGCAAACAATATACAGTATCTCCGTGCATGTAGGAGGCCTGCTAATGAAAGCTGTCAAGTGGTAGAAATGAGCAAAGAACGGCTTGCCATAGGCTCCTTCCTAGCTTGCTGTCATTGAATCCTTGGGTGCTTCTTTATCGATTACCGGTAGGTGAGCTAAATGCATCGAATTTCATTCCTGTCGATTGCTGAATCGAGGGTAGATTGATCAAGGACAAGCGCCAAACAAAAAGTGAGCTGTCAAGCGCGAGCCACCAGCGACGTCACACTATAACAGAGCCTAAGCGAGCACCAAGTCCGACGGCCGCGAGCCTGCGCAACACAATTACAGCAACCCACCATGGACATCTCGCCCGTTTTCAATGAGATACTCGCCGCGCATGATTCGCGCCTGGTCGAGCCGCATGTCTTTCGTCTGCAGGATCTCGACGAGTTTCTGAAGGAGGCATATCGCATTGTAGGACACGTTGCAGCGGCTCTGTCCTCAACTGACGACTAACAGCGGACAGAGGACGCACCTCGAAGAGCTGACCGACTATCTGAGATCGGTACGGCAAAGCTATCTCTCTACCGCCCATCCAGCACGGCGGAAGCAGGCTGTGCGGGCCAATGGTCCCACCTCGTTGCCTTCTACCGACAAAGACAGCAAATACCTCACCGATGCCCAACGGACTGAGATCGATGCATCCGCCAAACAACTACTAAGGGAGCTCAATGTCGCGATCAATAATCTCTCCGAAGCTGAGCAGGTACGGCAACAAACGCACGAGACGGTGGCCTTGAGGAAACGAGCAAAACGTGGCCTGGGGAGCTTAGGACGCTGGGCGGCTGGGGGAGGTATTACGGCAAAGAGTCCAGAGGAGGAGGCAGAGGAGGCGAAGGCGAACACCATCAAAGTGCATCGGGAGAGCATCATATGGTATCTGCAGCGGAAGCTGGAAGGATGCGGTCGGGCTCAAAGCTCCATGATGGAAATACGGCTGAATAGAGAGGTGGAAAAGAGCAAAAGCATACTGTACAAAGCTAGGGAAACACTGCCGTCTGCGAGCAATTACGCTGGCGCGAACGGAGGGGCCAGCAAGGACTATCGAGGGAAGACGGCACATGTCTCAGACGAAGAATCGCAGGCAATAGAGCAGCAACTCAGTCCGGAGCAGTTACAGCTGTTTGCGCAGGAGAACCAAGATATGCTAAAACACTACGAGGACACCTTGGACCAAGTTCGGTAGGCAGCCAAGGAAACGATGGCGTCCCTCCACTAATCGGTACAACAGCACCGCTGAGAAATCGCTCCTCGAGATCTCGGAGCTGCAGACGACGCTCGCAACCAATCTCAGTGTACAGGCGGCGCACATTGAGCAGCTTACGGAGGACTCGCATATGGCTTCAGAAAATGTGGGAGGCGGAAATAAGGAGCTCAAGCGGGCAACAGAGCGGAAGAGCACGGCGCGCATGCTGTTCTACGGGACCAGTGCCTTTTGCCTGACGCTGGTGCTCTGGGACCTGTTCATATGATGGAGTGCCGCGGCTTGTGGGTGCAACAGGTGCAGACAATGGTATACGGACACGGGCATGTGAAAGTGTACAGTACAGACAGTACAGTGCGAGTGCGAGTGCGAGTGCAAGAGCAAGAGGCGAGGTATCAACGGGGGCTGTCGCGGCGCTTTTGTCAGCGGCGTGCATGAATTCGCTTCCACAATGGCAGAGGTGCAGCTCTCTTGCATTCGATTGACTTGGTCTCATCGCCATCCACTGCGCGACATAGGAAGGAAGCCGAGTCGTACTCGGTAGAGACTGGGCCTCGGCTGAAGGTTGATAAGACGGCCCGGCAAGCAACCGACCATGCAGCGAAGGCCAAAGGCGGTATTAAATGGGCGTCCGGAAGCTTCAAAATGGCTTTGCAATGCTCCGGCTCCAGCACCGTTTCCAT